GGGGCCCACCAAGGCCCCAGTGCGTGGCACGGGCTGGGCCCAGGAGAGCTAATGGGCTGGGCCCAGTAAGGCCCCGGTGGGGGGAAAGTACTGGTCCCAGTAAGGCTCCAGTGCGGGGTATGGGCTGGGCCCAGTAAGGCCCCAGTGGGGGGAAAGTACTGGTCCCAGTAAGGCCCCGGTGGGGGTATGGGCTGGTCCCAGTAAGGCCCCAGTGGGGAACACGGGCTGGGCCCAGGAGGGCCCCGGTGGGGGGAACATGCTGGTCCCAGTAAGGCCCTGGTGGGAGGAATGGGCTGGTCCCAGTAGGCCCCAGTGGGGGACACAGGCTGGTCCCAGTAGGGCCCTAGGTGGGGGGCAACGTACCGGTCCCAGTAAGGCCCCGGTGAGGGGAACGTACTGGTCCTAATAAGGCCCTGGTGGGGGGTATGGGCTGGTCCCAGTAAGGCCCTGGTGGGAGGAACGTACTGGTCCCAGTAAGGCCCTGGTGGGAGGAACGGGCTAGTCCTAGTAGGGTCCCAGGTGGGAGGAATGTATTGGTCCCAGTAGGGTCCTGGTGGGAGGAATGTACTGGTTCCAGTAGAGCTCTGGCGGGGGACACAGGCTGGTCCCAGTAGGGCCCCAGCGGTGGGGAACGTACTGGTCCCAGTAGGGCCCTGGGAGGGAACGCAGGCTGGTCCCAGTAGGGCAAATGGGCTGGTCCCAGTAAGGCCCTGGTGAGAGGAATGGGCTGGCCCCAGTAGGGGTCTGGGGTGGCACAATGTATTGGTCCCAGTAAGGCCCTGGTGTGGGACACAGGCTGGTCCCAGTAAGGCCCTGGTGGGGGGCACATGGGGTGGAGCTCTGGTCCCAGTGCAGCTCCGTGCATGCAGGGGGTCACTGGTTCCAGTAGGGCCGCACTGGGAGTACGGGTGGGGGGGAAATGACGCTGCTCCCAGTAGCACCCAGTTGGTAGGGCCTACTGGGGGATACTGGGGAGGGCACACTGGTCCCAGTAGGTCCACCACACTGGGCCTGGGATGTCCCGGCCTGGAGGGTGGGCTAAGGGTGGCCGCAGCCACGTGTCCGTGTCCCCCCGACTCGTGTCCGTGTCCCCGCCGAGCCGTGGCCCCGCGTGTCACCTGTTGCCCCGCGTGG